AACCGATGACATAGTGCATTATCCCATTGGAATAGCACATTGTTGTTGGAGTACATGGAATCAATGAATAGAAGGAAATGGTCAAGAGGCAGTGCAACATAAAGGTCACTGGTCAATGACATTTATGCAGACAAATAGATTCACCAACTACCGGCCATCATTGACAACTTGGATTCACAGCCTTATGGGGGTGTGCATCACACCCGAACTTTACCATCAGCCCAAAACAACAGACACCATGACTCCAACTATTCCACATACTGCTAGTCCTCCAGGGTTCAATTAATGACATCAGAAGCTGCATCTGATGGTGTCAACAGGGTCACCCTGGTGGATATTCTGTTCTTATATCCCATGGAAGCTAAAGAACACAGAAATGACCTGCTGGATATGTGTCTGGTACTGACTTAATTATAGTGATGCTGTAGATTTAATACACCTTAGATTGACCAATAAGAGTCAGGGTTCTTGTAATTTGACATCAAATTTTTCCCTCTTAAAGGTTATTTTTATAACTCGATAAGACTAACACTTTTACATCAAAACCTGGGTTTCAATATGGTAACAGATATCTCACCCACAAATGTATGTACCTTAATCTCTCATCTATATAAATACAGAGACATTTTCTTACACAAACTTATAGTGATGCCTCAATGCATATTCTTCCTCCTCAAGGACAGGTTAGCAATTTTTTGCAGTTGCATATTTATGTCAAATAAAAAAAATGGTATATTCTTTTTATAAGCAATTCAATAGATTTTCAAGGCTTATTTGTTCTAAAATTGTGTATATTTTGTAATATTCTTATTAAAAAATTAAAACTGTAATTTTTAAACATAACCGTATTAGATAAAATGATTGACTTAAAAGAATATTATATTAAAATAAAAACAATTTTTTTTAACAATATTTAAATAAAAATATGTAAACATTTTGACATTTCTTAATTAGTAATCTTTTTAGCCAAATAAAGATTTTAATTTTTTTTACTATAAAGCATGCTTGTGCATTGCAATTGGAAACTCAGTTTTAAAATTTTGATACAATTCAACTGATCAAATTTTACTAGTATTGCTAACCTGATACTAAATAAATAATTAGAAAAATATAATTCAGTAGTATTAAATCATTCAATCTTAGTGTACAATAAATTTGAATAATGAAAAATATTACAACACAAAAAATAAATAATTAAAAATAAATATCTATACAATAAAGTACAAATTATATATAATAATCCTAAAGTTGACTCAAAATTTTTACCTTTTCTGAAATTTTTGCTTATGGAATTGCATCTGTGAAATTATGACTGCAAATCATACCTTTTTGTTTAGAACATAGGTTTGATTGATTCATTCATTTTCTACAGCTTAACAACTCTTTTCAAATTATTTAAAGACAGAAAGTATTTTTTTAGATTGTAAAATTATTTGGGTTTCTTTAAAATTCTAATCATTGCTTTTTAAAAAATATAAACATTGCCAAAGGAGTCAAAAGTGTATTCAGTGTCAAAAGAATAATTGTCCTTTTTACACTTTTTTTTGTGGGCACAAAGGTTGAACATTGCCAAAAAATATAATATTTATAGAGTATAACTCAGAAATAATTCAAATTACACAAAACGTCCATGATGATTTTATTATATATTATTTCAAACAAAATTTAGTTTGATAAAACACATATATTCATAGATGATAAAGGCAACATGCTTGTGGGAAATCACTGTTTGTATAACAAGTGTTATGCATGATTTTGTTAATATCCCAATGTTTATTGACACTGAAGATGATGTAAATAAATGTTGAAATATAAAAAAAACTATTAATTTTATTTGTTAATTCAATATTGATTACCTGCATGTATGCATTTTATAGTTGCTTTTATCCTTTATTATTTTATAACATATTGTGTGACACAGACTATCATATGTTATTTTTAAACATTTTCTTAAAATCAAAATACATGAAAATTCAAGTTTCAGAGAAAGAACAATTGCAGCCTCAGAGTTGGCATTCAGTTTAATTCATCCTGATACAATTAGATTATTTCACAGTTTGTAAAATTCCAAAGCAGCTAGTCTTTATTCCCTGGCCAGTGACAGGAACCAGCCAGTAAGAGATGGGTTGGCAGTAGCAATTACAGGGCAAGAGACCCATAATTGCCAACTGAATATGTCCAATCTGTCCACATTATACCAACTTCCATTAATAGTACAATCTTTTTCAAGACATTTCCTCACTTAACCATGGATTAGACTGACACTTGGGAAGACTGAACAAAGAGGTATATATGATGCTGGAATACAGCATCATTTTTAGTCATGTCTAAGCTGTGTTTCTTATTGCCTTCCTTTAATAATAATAAGGAGTGCCAGAGAAAAGTGATATTAACAACAAAAATTGCAATATGATCTCTGGTAAAAACATAGAGTGATAACAGCAAAAATTGCAATATGAGCACTGGTTAAAAATGCTTGCTGAAGTTTATAATATCCAGAAATTCATACACAGATGTCCTCAAGGGCACAGTGGATAAAGGCATTGGTTAGATCCAGTGACAGGACCCAAAGAGTGTAAGTTCAATACTCGGTTAAGGCAGTGGAGAACTTGGAGAGGGGAATTAACAGAAGTTAAGTTCTAGTTCCATGTGACATTAAACATGGCACGTGGAACTAGAACAGTCTACCCCAGTGAGCAAAATAAAGGGTTCAGTTCGACATTCCAACCACCTGAAGAAGGCTGGAACGTACAACATCTGAAATGTTGTAATAAATATGGCAACAAAGATGAGGACAATAGTCCGAATAATGTAAATAGAGTTCCTTTAGGTTAATATTTTTAAAAATATTGAATAATAGTTAAAAATGTTAAATACTAGCATTTTTTAGAGAATTGTATTTCTCCTCTGACTTCCTCATTTTGACCCTTGAGGTCAGATACAGGAAAACAAAGGAAGTTGTTTTTGATTGGCTAAAAACTAGTGTTGGAATGTTGGATGTAGAAAAGGATTTCAGTGATTTAAGTTTTACACATCAAACAATGTAGACATGTTAAACTCACATCTAGAAACTGCTTCCCAGTAGGGTGGGATAGCAACCCCACTGACTAGTTTAAAGATATACCCATTGATGTGGTGAATAAAACTAGACAAGTTTAAAATTCCTTTGTTGAAGTTTTCTCGATTTTTTCTCCAAACAAACCAACTAATGATGTGAGAAAGTGAAAGCAATGTCAATGTGAGTGAATCAACGTCATTGCCTTAAGAGAGCCCCAGTGGAAGGGGCTATATAACACTTTACAATAAAGAAAAATTGAGAGACAAAATAATAAATGCTGGATTTAATTTAATCCCAAATGCATTAATACATTCTATCTACATAAATATTTTTTCTATATGTTGTGTCCCTTCAGAAGGTGGGCAATTATGACTCTCCACAACCTCCTATCACTCATGACCCTCAGCAGCATTTTTACCTTTTCCAAACCTCCCCACCCTGTTCTGCCATCTATTCACAAAAGCTGCCTTCACTTATCTCTCTTGTCCTCAATAAGCCCTGTGAGAGTTAAGTTTTCCAAGTCTTCCTTCCTCATTACATGTCCAAGAAATATTAGCTGCGTCTTTCTGATTCAGAGTATGTCTTCTTTTGTTACTATTTTCCTTAAGATTTCCTTGTTGCTAATTTGCTTTGTCCTTGTAATTCTAAGTATCCTTTTGTAGAACCATGTTTCTGTTGCCTCTCAGTTGGTGTTTTCCACAATCACAAAAGTTAAGCAATGTCGAGCATGGTCAGTACTTAGATGGATGATCACTTGGAAATACCAGGTGCTGTATGCTTGGATGTGCAGGTGATGTAATGTATAACTGTTTGGGATGAGAAATTGGAGAGCTGAGTTTGAATTCCAGTTGGGTTCATTACATTCACTTACACAAATAGCCTTGGGTGATCATGAATTGGAAAGAGATATGATTGCTCAAATTTGTCACGTCCATCCCTACCAACATACATTGGATCAGTGTTGTGGAGTAATGGCCCACTCCTACCCATGAATCTGAGGAAGGCTTATGTTCAACAAAGGACCTTCACAAACTGATTAGAAGAAGAATAATCAAAAGTAATTGTTAATGTCTAAACAATATGACTCAACTAGATAATTATCATTATTATTATTTATCAATTCTATTCAAATGCATTTTTTGATCAGTTGTTGTAATGGCAAATATAAATATTGGCAATTTTGAGGAATTAGCATAAACTAGACTTCAAAACCACTGAAATGGCTCAGAGAATTCAAGAAGTAAAAGAAAATAAAATAATACCTGACTGTATTACCGAAAACTGAATTTTTGAGGGTAATGATTTGTTGCTTGTTGAAATAAAACCCAAAAATGAAAAACCATCAGTGGTTTAATTTTTCTTTATGTGCCATGTGCCCTCAGGATGTAGGCGATCATGGCTCTCCACAACTTCCTTTCCTTTGTAGCTCTTAATAAATTTTGTCTTTTTCTTATTTCTCCTAAACCTTGTTCTGCCATCCATTTACTCAAGCTAACTATGTTATGCATTGTCTTTCTTGCCTTCAATCTGTCCTGTGAGTATCAGATCTTCCAAACCCCCTTTCCTCATTGATGCTTTAAAGCACAAGGTAGTTGAGAGCCTGGTCACCAACACTATGAAACTTTTCTAAAAGTTAGGATCTTCAAAAGAGCATTCCAAAAGGTAAAAGGCCTTTAAAAGATGAAAATACTTTTTATCATTATGATTTCTCACTCATAAACGAAGTTAGCACTTTTTCCTACAGATGAGAATGAAAATTCTAATAATATTTTTGTATGTTAATTATTTTTATTCATTGATTGAAATGCAATTTACAAAAGAGAGATAAATTTTAATTATGTATATAAAAAAAACTCAACAACCATCACTTTTGCAAAATTCTTATTAAAACTGAAATCACAAAAAGGAGAAAAAGAAGAAAATTCATCAACCTAACGCCAAGCTTACAACACTTAGTATTCCCAAATGATCATCCACCTAGGTACTGACCAGGCTCAACATTGCTTAACTTTGATGATCATAGGGGAACTGGTGTTTCAATGTGATATGGCCATAAGTGGTATTTCAACGTGATATGGCTTTTGGTTTTGAAAGCGTTTTCTCAGCAAATGCCACTGTTTTCAGATGTATTCAGCAGTCATTTACATCTTTCACAAGCTGCTTTATGTGACTCTAAAGTAATATTCCTCTTGGTTTGCCTGGAGGTCGAGGTAGGTCTGTATTTTCCAGTGGAATTGTGGATGTGCAGGTGGTGTAATGGATAGTGGCTTAAAATGAGTAATCAGAGAGCTGAGTTCAAATTCCAGTCAGGTTTGTTAAATTCACTTACACACAAATACTCTTTGTGAAAGTATAAATCCATCTCCTCCCTACAGCTATAGATTAAATAGTAGGACTTATATCTGAAAAAATCATTGTTATCACTAAGAAAAATTGTTAATGCAATATTCATTCACCAAAAACAGAATTGTTCTTACAATCCAAAATATGATTCAGCTTTAAATTACTGAGAAAGTTTTTAAAAAAATCTGTCAATCTATCCACCCTTCATTATCCTACTAACTGTATATACTTTAAAAATGTATTGTCTATATTCAAACCCTGGTAAAAAGTCAGGATTTAAAATGACCTATTTTTACCTGAATTCAAGCACCAACTAAAATGCCAGTGAAAATTATGCAACTACTTTAGCTAGCACATCTATGTCTGATATCTTTTGGTGTGTGTGTGTGTGTGTGTGTGTCTGTGTGTGTGTGTGTGTGTGTGTTTGTGTGTTTGTGTAAAGCAAATCAATGGAAATTATCTTCAATCCATTTCACTTCAGTTTTCCTGATAATCAAATATGTCTACATCTAAAGGTGTAAAGTTCGTTCATAAATGTGTTTTTTCTCATTCATTGATTTCCCTTGGCGGAGCTCATAGAGTAACAAACCTACAAACTCAGTGACTGTCTATTGAGTTTTTTTTAGCTGTTCTCCAGTTTGTTCTTTTGTTTAGGAACTGTATAAAATATTCAAAGAGATTTAGCAGTCAAGAATGTGCAAAAAATATGCCTGGATAAGCAAAGTACAGCTATGAAAACAAAAGTTATTTGGAATTTTGGTGAAATCTGTGACAGCTTATTTGGGAAATTTTCACTTATCCACCAAATTCATCAAATATTGAACCTGTACACTGACATTTTGTTCTGGTCTTTACACAATCTTCTTAAAGAAGAAAACTTCCTCGAGTAGCTCTTTGTTCAGCAAGCTAAAAAGTTTGGGGAGGATAGAAATAATATTTTTAATAATATATTTAATGTAATGTTAATACAATATTAAATAATGTCTTAAATAATGCATTTAATATAATGTTAAATAATGTTTTAGTAAAATTAATATAGCTAGCCAAATCCATATCTCATGAACACTTCTCTTAATAATAATTTTAAAATAATTCAGCCGACATTGTTATTTCATTTATGGTAACTGGACTTTTGGAGATTGTCTTACTCGGTCGCCACTGTTTGATACCATATGTTTAAAAAATTATACTTTTATCATAGTACCCATCACATCTTGGCCTTTTGTCTAAGATCAAAGAGAACTATCTGTTCTTATCAGCTTAACCTGATTCTCTCTCTCTCTCTCTCTCTCTCTCTCTCTCATTCAATTTCTCACTGAAACCAAGTACGGAACTTTTCCCTCTTTCCATGTGATCAAAACAGAATAGTTCATTGTTCATGAGGTATTGGCAGAGTGTAACAGTCATGCAAACTAACAAAGGAAGATTTTGTTTGTTTTGTTTTACAGCACATCAACCTCAATGGGTTATTTAATGTTGACATAGGTTTTAGAATAAGTCTGTAGAGATAAAATAATCATTCCTTGTAGATTAAGTTTGGTACAGGACTAAACATATGTGCATATAGTTGGAATCTTATTGTACAGTTACTCATATTTTTTAGTACAATCCCACTTCTCTTAGAAAATGTAATATCTTGGATGGTTTTGTTGAAAAGGTCTTTCAAATTGATTTCTTGGTAATGTTTAGCTTGAGCTAAGTCAAAGTCTACACAGTCCAGCAATATATGCTTAACTGTAAATCTGTCTTGGCATGTAGTGCATGTTGGGGCTTCTGCACCCTCTAGTAAATAGTGATGGGTGATGTAGGTGTGACCTATGTGAAGGTGGGTCAGCATTAACTGTTCCCTTCTATTGTTATTGTATTTTGTGTTCCATTCTCCAATGGTGAATTTAATGCTCAGAAGTTTGTTATCAGTGAGAGTATCCCATTGGTTTGAACAAAGGAAGAGACAAGTATAATTATTAGTATATTGTTAAATGTTTTAAATAATATATGTTTTTAATATGTTTGATTTAACACTATTATGTTAAATAATGTTTTAAATGTTTAATATAATACTAATATATTATAATTTCTAAATGTTTAATATGTTATCTGTTTAACATAATGGTAATGCTTCAAATATGTTTAATATAATGCTAATGGGGAGTTAATCCTACATCACACCAAGTAGACCAGACAATAAGTTTGCATTTCTACCATTATGGGCATTATTATATTCATGATATAATAACACCTTAATACATGGATGGAACAGAATACCTGAAAGAAAAGGAGTGACAAACATACTTTCTTCGTTTTATACCACAAATCATGCAAAAATTATATACAAACATTTACATTTGTCCCACACAAAGAAACTATAACACTTGTATACAACAACAAGTGGTGCAAAAATGGAAGAGATATAGGATCTTATTTGTAATAATCTCCAACAGGAATTCAAGCTCCTGGGGGATTCTTAGTGTTTCTGGAGAAGCAACATTTATATTTCCCAATAAGGATTTGAGTGAGCTGGATATATCTTCTATGTTGCTAGTGAAAATATATTTCTCAAACAGAAAATGAGTCATGGGTATTTCTCAACATGAGGATAGTTTCTGTATCTGGTGAGGATTATTCCCAAGGTGCTATGAGCTTGTGAGCTGATCTTTTGGCAGCCCAACCAGGTGAGGCAGATTTAGCCTTAGCTTATACTAAAAAAAGCAAGCATTCAGTTTGACTCCTGTAAGCTGACAGACTTACCACTTTCATCACTCAGTGAAATGACATCACTAAGTGCCCATCATGTTTCAATGAAGGATGGTTCTCACTAAAACCTACAGGCTTCATTTGCTGGAAGCCAATTTTAATAATTTATAATTAAAAAAACAAATAAAATTAAACTAAAAGAAATATAAGTAAAAAATGAATCATGGTTGACAATGTATTGTCTAATAAGAATAGAAAAATACAGGGTAATAATGCTTGATACTTTTCTGATATGTATATTTTTTAATTTTGAATTTGTTTTATGAAAAATAAAATGAATGATAGACCAAAAAAACCGAGATAGAATCAATTTGAAGATCAGTGATGTAAACTGATGCCTTCTGAGAAATAGTTTCTCCAAATTGACTTTTATGTCTTTTTCCTTCAATAAAACATTTATGGTCACTTATGACTATAGCACATTGGCAAAACAACTCTTTGCTTAGCAACTCATGGTAAGCAATGATGTTTCTGGTCAATATGAGTGGATGACAAAAAGTTTTCTACAAGGATTAATTCTAAAAAATCTGACTAAATAGAATTTTTTGAATCCCTTTTTGGTTAGGCTGATAAATTTTCAGCACCCCCTCATACAAAATGTCTCCCCAACATTGTCAGATTTAGGCATAATCTAATAAAGCTACAGCTTAGGTTCTCAATATCTGAATGGACTTCAAAAGATTTCATAAATTCTTTGGTAGGTTCACTTTTAATATTGTCATAATTTCTTAAACATGTGACCTACCAAGCTTATATAGTTTTTGGCCTCAATAAATTTAAATCTGGTACAGTTTACCAAACATTTTCAATAATGAATAACTAAGAGTTATAAATACATTTCTTTTGATTTTGTTGTGCAGAATCAACAATTCAAGAACAGTGCTTCACAAATGAATAACCCGTCATTTCAGTCAATAAAACCAATATAAATGTAATATAGACATTCTGAATTCATTTGGAAAGTGTTGATTTCTTATAGAGATTGACTGATTGTTTTTTTATGGCTTATCAACCTTTTGCAGGTTAATTAAGTTAGAAAATATTTTTAGATTGTAAGAATTTTTTGTAGATAATAATGATTTGCTGATACAAGTCTAACTATTTAACCCACAGCTGAAGGGGGAGAAGGGGTGAATTCATACCTTTCCAAACAATATTTGCACACATAAATATAACAAACCCAACTGGAATTTGAACTCGGCTTGCTAATTTTCAATTCTGAAGCTGTTATCCATTACACCACCCATACATCCAAGCTTACAGCACCTGGTATTTCTAGTGGTCACTCATCTAGGTACTTTGTTGCTTAACTTTGGTGATCATACAAGAACCCATATTTTAACATGATATAGGGCTATATAAGCCTCTTATAGAGATGAGTATAAATAAGTCTAGCTGATGACAGATTGATTCCATCCATTTTGTTGATATTTTGGCTACTTCCTGTTTGGCTAAAGGAAGGATTAGCTGCCCTTTGCAAAATTTGGATCAGAAGAAATAAGATCATGTGATGTATTACTAAATACAGAGTTAATTCCCTTGTAACTATTTATAGAGACTGATTAGCAAGAGTGAGTTCTTCCATGGATTGCTAGATAAGCACGCAATGCATTCTGTCTCATCATTCACTGTTACTCAGCTGTCCAGCATGGCACAACATTAATATGATATATAACAGATGGTGGGGGGGGGGGCACATGTTGACTGAACTCCAACTACTGACAAGTTTAATGCTAACGGATTTTTTTTTATTTGGTAAAAAAAAAAAAAAAAAAAAAAAAAACTATTGATATATACACAAATGAAAGAATTACACAAATTAAGTGCTTTGTGTGCCAAATGGTGGCCAATAATATGTATCTGCAATAATCACCGCAAATAAAATATACCTCTTTTACAATAGAAATTACAATTCTGTATAAGGTCCTTAGAAAAGGCAATCAACATAAAAATAAATG